ATCTTAAAGTTACTTAAAATTGTTTTATCCACAGCTCAGAACTTCAGCAACTGTATAAGAATATTTTGACATATTTCTATTAATATCATAAGAAATAAAACAGCAATATTTTGTTATACATCTTTCATCACATTCCTTGTTCATCATAAAATAAATCAAGTTTAACTTAGTTTTTCTTTTCTTATTTCAACAAACATACATTTAGTTTGTAAATTAATAGGAAAAACTGAGGCAAAGCCCAATTTGTTTATTGTAAAAAAAATTTATGAATAGGAAGAGTTGATTGTAAACCATGTATACCAAGTTCAATATAAGATATCTATTAGGATTAAAAGTTTTAAAGGATTGTCTAGTTTTATCATGGAACATAATTCAAATTTCTCTCTAGATGTACATTTAAAATTTTTATCTCCAGAACTTATTTCTAGCAAACTATATTCATCAATGTTGATGTTACTCCAAAAAATTCCCAAAACCACAAAGTTAGAAAGAAATTATAAAGAGTCAACATATAAGGGTTACACAAAAATAGGGTTTACTCCAAATACCACAAAATTTAAAGTCTTGTTTAATAATAAGGCAAAAAAAAATTGATGTAAGTAAAGCAGATAAAACCTGGCTTCATTTCTCAAAGATGCCGAGATGAGCCCCCTCTTTATACTCTGTAATTAAAGGGGATCTTAACATGAGCAAAACATTGAGAAATTGACTGTCCGAAACTTCAAGACCCTTTATTTAATTGATCACAGATTCTCACTCAGGTCATCAGTTTTTGCAAAAAGTAGCACATGATTAACTAGTTGCAACTGTTGGACATTGATAAGCTCAAGTCAACAAAATTTAATCACAATTTCTTTTTTATTTAAAGTCAGATTATCTCAGATTTTGTCTGATTTTTATACACAAAACCGTTGTATAAACTGTATTTATTATGTTTGCTTTGATCTGTTTGTTTTGTTATCATGAAAACAAGCTTTATGATTGATTATACACATCGTATTATAACTTTAACTTTTAAAGTGTGATAAATTTGGTAATACTTTTTGCTTTATTATAATACACTGACTATAGAACTATAGATATACTAACTACTAAACAATAAACACATATTTAACACCAATATCCTACATGTACACCTAAATAACATCAATAGTAATAATAACTGACAATACTAGAAGCACCCACACACAATTCTCAATGGTTTTTACCTTAACGTACATCTGATATGAAAAAATAACAACACCTCATTATATAAATGTTTTTTCATATCTGTTATATATCATACTAAAATTCCACTAACTCTTAGATATCTAAGTCTAACAAATAAATTTTTAAGCACAGAACATGGCTAATATTCTTGATTGGCATATATGTTTTGAGCTTTGTATATCTGGTAATGATAAATGAACTGTGCATGGATGAAACACAATATGCTATGTCTATCACATGTCAAGTAAATAACTCCATTAAAAGTATAATCTAGTCATCTAGCTTATATATCACATTAAATTACTAACCAAGTCTCCATTTTCTAATAAATTGGATACTGTGGGTGGATTACTATCACCTAAATCATCTAATGGTTTACTAATAATATCAAATATATTCCTCAATTTCTGTAAGTTAGATTCTGTTTCACACATTTCTTTTTCTAATATTATAAACTCTTTCTTCTTTTCACTGTATCTGTTAAAAAATCAACAAATTATACCGATTTTTTTTTTATATACAGAAGATATTCCTATATGAGTTAAACTTTAAGGTATAGGATTAATAGAAGACAACAAAACATCCATTGGTATAATTTTTTGTCAGTCAGAGATAGTCATATAATTAAAGAACATCTACAAGGGTCTACTTATTTCAATGAGACAGTGACATGTTTTAAGTTTAGTGGCCATAAATGTAACTATTCAAAGATATCTTGCCAGGCAAGGTAATATATGCCAGTTTACGAGCTAAAAATTGAATGCGTTTTGAAGAACAAGGGCAATAACTTATACTTAATATTTTTCGATTCTTCTGATTTTCAATAGGGTTCATCCTTGGGTGGTTACGAACACTCACACCAAGTTTTGTCAAAATGCGTCAAGAATTGTGTCTTGTAGAGTGTTTACGAGCAATTTTGGACGGACGAACATATAATTTCTTACTCTGTGACTAATTCTGTAGTTTTACTAACAGCTAGTCTTGTTTCTAATCTATTTAAATCAACAGATAAACTTTTATGTCGTGTGGTTTTTATTTCTAAACTTTTTTGACATTCATTCATTTGACTTTGTAATTGAGTTCTCCTGAAATTAAAAATATTAAGAATGTAACCTATAGAAAATTTATGAATTCATAACATATCAAGGACAGCATTTTGTCTTGGTACAATAATTCATTTTGTTCTTTCAAAGGTTCAGATTTAAGGGTTTTCATGGATAGTTTCTATTTTTTGAAATATTCTCAACAAAATTGTAGTGCTATTTTCAGCTATAATCAAATTTTTTCTGATCATAAGGAGCCAATGTTGTTAACCAATATCAAATATTATATTGGAAATAAGATCATTTATATTGAAATGCAGAATACAAATTATCAAATCTTACCGTTGTAGTAAGAATTCATATGTAACATCATCTACTTCTAATACATTTGGTTGTAACGAAACACTAAAACAGTCTATTGCTTTTTCATCAAATTCAAATATATTTGCTGTTAACTGCTCAGACCTTTTAAAAAAGAAAATTCACAGTTTTCTAAGCATATGTGATGTCAAAGTAAATCATCTATATCAAAATCAGTCTAAGCAGTCTCCAACGATTTTACAGCTCATAATTATTAAATTGATAGTGCTAAGCTTTTTCTTATGACATATTCAAAGTCAAAACAAGGAATTAGATTAAAACTGCTTAAAAACACTAAGAAAATACTGAGACAAGACAAGTAAAAATAAGAAAGACAGCACAAGTTTAACAGAATCATAATCTAATATTGCCTCTTGTTTAACTTACTTATATTTATCCATAAAAGATTTAGTGTATTCAGTAGATGGTACTATACTATCTATATCACTACCTATTTTATCAAATATCCTTTGATACTGACTACTTGAATAATCTGTTAACTTGTGGTATTCTTCTAGTACAAATTTACTGTAAAATACAACTTTATAAACCAAACATCACATCTCCAAAGCTACTGTGAAAATTAGTCTCAGGCTCTTTTAGCCCAGTTTTATACATGTTTATATCATTCTTTCAATATAAAAGTAGAAATTTATCAATTGTGGGGAACATATTAGTATCCTGATCATACTTTCACTAAAAATTGTAGAAAAGTAAATAAAGATGCTCAAATTTCTTTTATGATTTTTATCATTTAAGGCAAAACTTTTTTCCAATGTGGTATCCAGAATAATAACATTTAATATAATGAAGTATTTTTTCACAGGAGCATTATTATACTTTGTGCGCAAAATTTTGCATTCAATTTTATTTCTTAGTTGTAAGGTTTTGAACCGTCACACAAATGATATCCAATGAAAACAAATATCCTTCCCAAATTTCCAATGAATATAATTAATAAAGTTATAAGTCATATAAAGAACATAGTAAGTTGTAAAATTGAAAAGGAAAAGACTATGAATCACAATCAAAATAATATAAACAGGAAGATATGTTTCTATCATTATAAATAAATACTATGCATTTAATTCCTATCACAGATATATCTTGACAAATTTAAGAATAACAATAACAAACATCAAAACCTAGTTCTCACAACTACACTTTTCAAGTGCCTAAATTTCTGAATCTATCATAGTTTGAAATCTAATCTACTTAACTTAATATAAATTTCTATATAGTTTTATATTTTCTAAATTACTACAGAGTAATATTAGCCTGAATCAAAATAAGTACTGCAGCAGGTGTAGTGAGAATGACAGAAACACCTGATTTTACTATTCAACTTCATTCATCAACTGTATTTCCCACTTGATAGCCACAATTGTTTATTTGACAAAATTTAATCAAAACACAACTGAACATAATGTAAACAATATAGTAAGCTTAATTGAGAAAGTTGAAGTAATACATATATCGTGGTAGTTCAAAACAATATTTTCAAGAATCAATGGCCACAAACATACCATAACAAGCATTCAATAACAAATTGAGATCATTGCTAAGGTCATGTGCCAATTTAACGGTTTAAAACAAAGAAGATTATGAACTTACCTTTGGTATATAAGAAGTTCTTGAGCTGCTTGTTGATAATCTAAATAGGATGGTAATGTATTACCTAAATATACAGATTGATGTTCTTCTACCTCTCTTAAAGCTAATACATAATCATTGTGTAATCTATGTAACTTAATAGTTGTTTTATTTAACTTGTTCTTAGCTTCATCTACTTTAGACCCACCTTTACCTTAAAAACAACAAATAAATACAAATGTCTTATATAAATATTTTAGGGAAAAGAAATATTTTTGATTGAGCATGTATTCTGAACAGTTACAGAACTTACAGATGACATGTTAATTACTATGGATCTTTCATCTGTATTAAAACTGTTTAGATAATGTAACTTAGCTCAACTTAAGATTGATATTGAACATTAATAAACTTGTATATGATTTACTTCAACATACCTTTTGATTGTAACTCTTGACATTTGATTTTTTCAGCTTTTAATCTTTCAACAGTTTTACAATATTCTAGTTTATATTTCTGTACATCTTCTTGTAACTTCAAAAAATTTGAGTGTTTGATGATAAAATTTATGTTAGTTAACAGAAGACAAGATGTTGTAGAGGCCATGATAGTACAAATATATAATAACACGCTGTTTTCTAGAGGATGGGAATATCTTCCCATTAGGGTCCAGTCATTTTGAAGGGAGTACACTCATACTTGCATGGGTAGTTATTGTTCTTAATATATGTCATGATCAACATGGACATTTCAATGTGAAAAAAAAAGTTTGATTTGACGTCTTTTAGTTGATATTTAACTTACTCTACTAAAATCAGTTTCTAATCTATTTCTCTCTTCAACATAAAATCTTCTCATATTTTTCTTCTCATTAATAATAGTAGTCATTGTATCGAGTGTTCTACCTGCCAATGTATCAGCATTCTCTCTTACTTGTTTTAAAAATACATCTGATTCACTGACTATATTATCCCATACCTAGGATATAATATATTACATACATATAGTAACACTATTAAACATTAACTGAAATATTTAGTATCTTTGTTTTTTAGTATTTCACTCTGTGTGGTCTTTTGACAACTGTATACATACATACATACATCAATGCCATTGGATTATATCATGATACAAGATTAATTCATTTCAAAAGAGCTTTCATTTTGAGGTCCACCTTTTTTGCAACTTTCTGTAAATATGTAACAAATAAGATCCAGATAAACACGATCATGTGGTAACTAAATGCCACATTGTTCTTTTTATATGATACATGACTACATGATCCAATTTGCATAAATATTAGCCTGTGCTACGAGTTCATATCCTTTTTATGAAACTGTGTAATGAACCAGAGAAAAGTATTGTTCTGTGATACTCAATATAGATCAATATGAATATTTGAAATAATATCTTGTGTGTTAGTTATCCATGGTATCACTTACTTTCAGAAAAGTTAAGGTGTCACTGAACTCAGAAGAATCAACTTTTTGAGCTTGTGCAATGACTTTAGCTAATGACGTAGCATACTGACGATCACTTTCTACTCTTAGAGCCATACATCTCTTGATATTCTCTAATACTTTAATTTCTATATCCTGTACTTCAATTAGGGCCCTGTGAGATATACGCCCTTGTAACTGTGTACCAAACCCCATGATGTTAGTCTTCACTTCACATACTACATTCTGAAAATCAAACGAACATAAAATAAGATAGAATCGGTAATATACACCCACTGGCAGCTTTGACTTTAAATAAAGATAGCTTGCCAGGCAAGGTAACATACGCCCACTGGCAGCTGTCAGAAATGATTAAACAGTCTTAAGTGACTACAGGGTTGCACAATATAGCTAATAGAGTGAAACGTCAAGTCAGACACGATATTTCGGTGAAAAATTATCCGATCATCATGAAAATCGATAGATCATCATGAAAATCAATAGGGATCATCTTCATAATGACATTGACACACAAAATAAAAATCAAAAGAATCTGTAAAAAATTGTAGCATGTAGAGTGAGCACGAGTTGCACAATATAGCTAATAGAGAAAAACGTCAAGTCAGACACGATATTTCGGTGAAAAATTATCCGATCATCACGAAAATCAATAAGGATCATCTTCATAATGACATTGACACACAAAATAAAAATCAAAAGAATCTGTAAAAAATTGTAGCCTGTAGAGTGAGCACGAGTTGCACAATATAGCTAATAGAGAAAAACGTCAAGTCAGACACGATATTTCGGTGAAAAATTATCCGATCATCACGAAAATCAATAGGGATCATCTTCATAATGACATTGACACACAAAATAAAAATCAAAAGAATCTGTAAAAAATTGTAGCCTGTAGAGTGAGCACGAGTTGCACAATATAGCTAATAGAGAAAAACGTCAAGTCAGACACGATATTTCGGTGAAAAATTATCCAATCATCACGAAAATCAATATAGGGATCATCTTCATAATGACATTGACACACAAAATAAAAATCAAAAGAATCTGTAAAAAATTGTAGCCTGTAGAGTGAGCACGAGTTGCACAATATAGCTAATAGAGAAGAACGTCAAGTCAGACACGATATTTCGGTGAAAAATTATCACGAAAATCAATAGGGATCATCTTCATAATGACATTAACACACAAAATAAAAATCAAAAGAACTGTAGCCTGTAGAGTGAGCACGAGCCAAATGTGAACGGACGGACGGACGGACTTTTTAGGAGTAAAGGTTGTAACTTTGTATTATTGACAAAGTTACGAAAGCACAGTCACAGGAATTCAAGCGGGAAAGTGTTCAAGTGTTAAAGGGAAATATTCGAAGAGAGGTGTTCATATAAAGTCCATTTCAGAAATCTACTATGGACAAGGAAATCATTGATTTCTACCAAGTTTTGACAAAATCCGGCAAGAATCGAGCCTTTAAATGTTTACCAGCTAAAAATTTAATGCGTTTTCAAAAACTAATATTATAAAGTAGTTTTCGATTTTTTGAATTTTGATAGAGTTCATCCTAGCTGATTACAAATTCTTAAGTTTCATCTAAATCCGTCAAGAATTGTGCCTTCTAGAGAATTTACGAGCTATTTAACGCGTTTTCATGAACAAGGGAAAAAATGCATACTAAACATTTTTATATTTTTATATTTTCAATAGGGTTCATCCTTGGGTGATTACAAACGCTTACACCAAGTTTTGTCAAATTCCGTGTAGAATTGTGCCTTCTAGTGTGTTTATGAGCAATAGTGGGGAAACAGATGGACCAACAGACAGACATCGATGAAGGCAATGTTCGCCCCTCATTTCATGTGAGCCTATAAAAATTGACAATGAATGTGACGAAAGGTTAAATTTCAAGTTGCTGACCTTCTCATGCACAACTCACCGATGATTTAACATCTGCACAGGATCTTAAACTTGCAAAAACAGAATTAATGTGCATGATAAAGATAAACTCTGACATAATTGGTATCTTAATGTTGTGCAATGAACCATTAATCTTAACTTTGACAACGGAAAATAATTCTCTTTACATTTGAAAAAGGTTTATAAAAATTTGAATTGTTATAACTTTATATAAGACAACTTTTATTTTGTTGCATAAGCTTATAAGCCTTTTTCTCTCTATTACACTAAAATTTACTTCCTACAATTATTGTGGCAATAAAGGCAAACTGGTACCATGTGAGGCTCATGATGACTAGTCTTATCAGTCTAAGGAAAATGGAATTTTTTAGCTAAGCTAATCAGAAATAATGTTCACAGCTCACCGTCGAAATTTGAGCCTTCAAATCCATGTGTGTCCAGAATAATCTGTGTTTGAAAGTTAAATGACAACTCTTTATTTCTGGAGAATCTGCCATAATCTTATACAGAAAAGACTTATATAGAAATAGTAAATTAATTTCCTGCTTTGAGGTGTTTTTGAAGGAATAATGTCATCTTTCCACATTTCTGAATCAATACATTGCAGGGCCAGGTACAAATGGAATCAGTGGAGAGCGCTGGAAGATTAGTCCAACGATGTGAGAGCAGCCAAGGTATAAAAGCTCTCTATTGTCTTAGAACACACAAGATCATCTTGTTGTTGATTCCAATCAGTTAGTCAGTTTTACAAGACAGATTTGCTACTAGTTTTAAAGAGATTTGTCTTCAATGATTGTAGGTTTGTATTATGTATTTTTTGGATGTTATTTGGCGTTTTGTCATAACAGAATTTTGCAGGATAGCTAGTAACAACTCCTCAACCTCGTGGCTCCTAGTAGAGAAAAGTAAGACTACTGTGACTTGTTTTCAAGTGTGGAAAGTTAAGTTTGTTCATGAATCTTCTTATGCTTCTTCTTTGTTTAAATAATCCCAAATGATGAAGCGCATTCGCTAGTCTCTGAACAAGTTAAAACACAATAATGTCCTTGAATAAATTAAATAATTTGTAGAAAGACTATTTTACTATTTGCATTACATTTATTGGACCCAAATTCAAATCAAGCTCCAAAAATGGCGATTGTTCCTTTATGTTAAGGCCTACTGGCATTTGTAAATTAAGTCTCTATCTAACCTTTTAATATTCTTGTTTGAGTATATAATTGTGGTGTTCAAGTTCTGCAATGAGATTAGTTTCTTTTTACCAATCATCAATTAAGCCAGACCAGTCATGTACAAAAAGATTTGTTGACAAATTTCATTGATTTATGATCTGGCTGATTACTTTTGTCTTCTCGAGGCCAGTGTCATTCTGGCAATAGTTATTGTCGTCTATTTAACTTACAGTGTATTGGGTGTGGTATAAATTTTAGATATCTACAATTAAAAAGTTAGGTTTGGATTTTATCTCCTCAAAACTTCTCGAATTCATTTCTTCAATACTTCCACTTTCAGCCATTGATAACTACGTCACGGTTTCATGTGCACAAACTTTCTGACGTACTTCACATAGGTTCACAAAATATTTTCAACAAAAAGAAAATAAATGGCTATTTCTCTTGAAATTTCACTAATTACAATTTCTTGAATTACAAGCTAGTTTACAATGTAGTTCAGAATCTATAAGTAGATCGCTTAGTTTGTAATTTCTGCACAGGTAAGCAAAAAGTGATGAAAGATGGCAAATAACTAAGCCTAAATAACTCGACTACTACACAGTGATAGTCAACACTGACATTACCTTTGGGTAGGCCTAGGCCTAATGGTTGGTGATTTTCACTGTCAGTGAGGTGACAATCGGACAATGATTATCTATTGACCTTATTTATAATCAGGACATGTATTATCAATACTGTATCTATTTTATAGAATGGAAGGAAAGAAATTGGAATATGGATGTAGAAGAAAAGATCAAGGAGTAGAAATCAGTCCTACTATAAATTATTGTGTTGATGAAGATGTAAATTGTGATAATTGTGATAGTTTACCAGAATGTGAAAAAAGTATAGAAACACCCAAATCTGATAATGATAAGTTATTGATAACCCCTAAACCGCAAACATTATTATCAACCCAGAGAGCTTCTACAAGTTTAGGCCACAATTCATTAGTGAAAAATAAGATTACTGGTCAAAATCCAAGACCTAAATCTGCTGTTAATAGACCTATACCCAAAAAATCCAGTGCATGTAGCTCCACTAGAAACCATTCACCTTACAAAAATGACTCCAGACAATTAAATTTGAATCATCAAAATGCTGCATCAAGTTCAACTCCAAGGAATAAAATTGTTGATTATTTTGGGTCAAGAAGACCATATACTCATCAAGTCAATTCACCATTGTTATTAAACACACACCCTGGAAAACGGCCCCATAATTTTAGTTTTGATAAAGCTGCAAGACCCTTTACAAAGTCCTCAAAACTGTATAAACCTCCAAGTGCAAGTTTCAAATCAAAACAACTGTTATTATCTAATAAGATACCGGTACCAGACATTGACTTTGATGTGAAACCAAAACATTTAGATATTCCTATTGTGGATACACAAGTAGATATAAGTGACTATAATAATTGTAAGTTACCTATACTAATATTGACTAATATATTTCAATATCTATCGCTACACGATTTACTGTGTCGAGCAGCGCGTGTTTGTAGATACTGGTATACAGCAGTGTTTGACCCTGCTCTATGGAGATATGTGAATTTAAGTGAACAATCTCAGTTAAGTGATGAAATATTGGTGAAATTGACACATATAAGCGATAATATATTAGGAATTGACTTATCAACACATAGAGGATCTCTACATGTATTCCCTCAAACTATAGAAATGTGTCTTAAAAGAAGTAAAAATTTAAAGACTTTCAACATGGCAAGGTAATGTATTTTATTGGCGGAAATTAATATAGGAGAATGTAACTAGGGTAGAAAATTAGCACCTGTACAATAATAAAAATTTTAATAAAATAACTTGCAAAATGTTCTGCTGGACCATTCTTAATTTTTTTCACTAATATGATAGAATATATTTACTTAAATGTAAATTGCATTTCCAGTCTCGAACTGTATGAAAGAAAACATATTATAATGATAAGCTTATATCATTAAGAATGAATAGATCCTTTCAACAAAAAAATACTTCATTAACATGTGCAGTCTATTAGGGCAGGTCTACCTGAATTATTTCTATTATAAGTGGACTATAGTGCAAAATATCTTTGTTGCTCTAAGATGTTTATATTTTGTTATTTTGTGTTTGTGTTTTTTAGATGTTTTGATATGCCAGGTGAAGCCTTTGAATCTATTGGTCTTTATTGTCATCATTTAGTTTATTTAGATTTAGATATCTGTTCTAATATTACAAACGAAGCTATAATCAATGTAAGTTGTAAGAGAAATTAGTAATCTAATTGTGACCCTTACAAGTTGATATCACTTAAATTGCCTGATCAATATGATCATTATTTAAGCTTATATTTCAATATAATATTTACAATATGTAACATCATAAATAAGAACAGGAAGCTGCAATTGAGTTCCATCACATCACCATGGAAACATTTTGATATAGTTTTATTAAAGAGACATTCGCTTTTTTAGTTTTGAAAATCCAGCAGTTAATTTTTTAAAGCCAAAACTTTACCTAAAAGGTTACGTAACCTTGTAATCTTTGTTATGCTTTTTGCATGCGGTTACAAAACTACAGTAGGGATTTGAGTAAAATAAACGCCTTATTGTAGAGAAATATGTCTCACTTTCTAAAGATTTCTACTACATTTATCGAGCCATTAAAAAGCCTATCACGGAAACTAACAATTAATACTCTGTTTTTAATTAACACCCTTTTAAAACAAATTCAGTTTGATCAAATAGATACATAGATATAAAATGCATTCTTAAGAAATATTTTCAGGTATAATTTAAGACGTTTTAGATAATGAAAATGTTTTACAAAAAAAGCGTAATGCCCCTTTAAGCAAATGATTGCTGATTTATCCAATATTTCAGATTGGTAAAGGCTGTAGTCAGTTAAAAGTATTATATGTAGGACAATGTAGTCTTATTAAGAATACTGGTATAGTAGAAGTAGCTAGAGGCTGTCCTAGTCTACAACAGCTACGTATTGAACAATGTGACAAGGTGAGTTGTAGTCTCATTCGAGGGAGTATTGGTTAACTGTGATCCCAACATAGGTTGTATTTTAAACAGTTATTCTTGTCAGCGATACAGATAGACTATATGTGCTGTGGTCTGTATGACATGGTTTCCTATTTTCCTCTGTACTCATACTGACTAAAGTTGAAACACTGTATCTTTATTGAGAACGATAGCTTGTATAATTAATATTCAAATGATATAAGTTCTTGTCAATTTTTGTTGTTGTTATATTTCACGATCACTCATTGTGATCATATTTTTTAGATTACAGATCAGGCTATTATTGAATTAACAAAATATTGTCCAGATATGGATTATTTACATATGTTATCATGTAGTCTTACAGACAGTAGTATTTGTCAGATAATTAAGGTAAGTCTTTGTATCTTTGTCACTGTAGTGGGTGAGAAATGACAAATTTTACTAGTTGTGTTATCAGTGTTTTCGTGTATTAAGGGTTTGAACCTATATCATAGCACCTCTTCAGATTAAATGAATTGATTTTTGTTGGGTGAAGCTTTATAGATTCTCATAATTGTCTCCCTTGTAAAAGCTTGAGATAACAGATACCCACATACTATCCTTATATGTACGAAAAAGTAATTATGTGCTAATATAGGTACTTTATAGACTGTTCAAAATACAACTTATCCCAAAAAATACACAGTCAATTTCCATTAAAATTCAGGTGAAAGTATTATTTTTTTTCTTTCAGTTACCCAAGTTAAAACTTTTAGATATATCTAATGTAACACAGTTGAGTCCTAAAGTTTTAACTAAAGTGGTGGAACATTGTAATTCATTAGAGACATTAAATGTATCATTAAATAGAGCAGTTGGTGATGAGTGTATTAAAACTATTGTTACAGCTTGTCAGAAACTACGGGTTTTGTCTTGTGTTGCCTGTAGACTAACAGATAAAGGTATGTTATCACTTAATTTCTGCTAACTAGATGTTGAAGAGTTCAGTTACATACAGCAAATATGATATAACTTATTATATTACAAATAATAATTCGTTTTTTAAGTTAGTTATTATCTGTATATTTCAGCTTTAGAATATGTAGCAGACTATGGTAAATGTGTAGAACATCTGGACGTAGCCTGGTGTGTAGATATTACAAACTATGGTGTTAAATATATCTCTGATAATAACCCCAAATTAAAATATCTTGGTTTAATGCAGTGTAAGAAAATAACATTTGATACAATAGATGAACTGATAGAGGCACATCCAGATATCCATTACTCTAATTTTGTCACCGAATCCAGAAGAATATTAAAAAAGGCCTGTTTAACAGTTGATAATCAGTTTCAAACTTTGAATGTTGGTCTACTGTGTTAATCAACCTTTGACATGGTATTGATAGTAGCTTGATTGACTGGTATATGAGGTCGCTAGATAGAAGGTATTTTTAAACAGACTATGGGTGGTATGATTTAATTACACAAAATTTCTGAAGATTAAATGACTGAAGAAATATAGCATGTTATATAATGAAAATTGTAAATAATAAATATATACACATATCTTGTTTTTGTCAGATAGTTGAGATTGAGCTCTATCAGCAGGAAAAGTAATTAGTTGCATACACTTGCATTACTATATCTGTTTCAGTTTTACATGCCATTCAATTTTATAAAGGCCTTAAATTTATTACGATGTCTCTTGCATCCGAAAACTTTTCAATGCAAATAGTTTTGTACTCTATATCTCGCTCCTTAGTCTACTGAGCATAATAATCATGAACAACATGGACATATTATTTATTTCTAGAACAAGACAATCTATAGATATTGTGATAACATTGAATATAAAGCAACCTATCTATGTTTACTCTATACAACTCCTTGAAACTTACTTCCCTTTCTTGTCTTCTGTTAACATTTTAAATAGAGACAAGTTTAGCTTTTATTTGGCTATATTAACTATGGAAATTGTTACCATATTATACCACATGATTTCCAAAAACATTTAAAAAATCAAGTGTATTAAAGGATCTTTTGGATTCTTTGTAGAGCATCAAAATGAACTGAGTGGTAAGAAGAAGAGACAATAACAATAAGAGTCATAATGCAATAATGGATCAGTAGATTAGTCTTTATTTCTCAAGTGTTTCTCGGGCCATGTAAGATTGATTTGATTTAGCTAACGAGAGTAAGATTAAATTATGAGTCTCTAATAAATATGTTCATAAATATCAGAAAGAAAGCACAATTAATTGCTATTCTTGAAAGCAGAATCATATGCCATTGGATTATATTTTTCACATTACATTGTATATGTTCATAAGCGAAAACAACATTTAGAATATTAAGTGAGAAATAGAATTTTTATGAGTAAATTTTCTTGTTTATTTGAACAACAGGGTCTGTGACTACAGATTTATTGTATTACTATAAGCATGTTTAAGCGATCATCCATGAATATACTGCAATCTCTAAATAACTTTATATATATAACTATAATAGCACTAATGTAATTATCTTATAACAATGAAACCACTGTAATATATCAGTGAATATCCTGGTGACACAATATATTGTACACTTGATATCTATATAACAGCATTAATAGTACATCTACATACAGGACATGTTCCCGACTGAAAAATATAACATACAACAATCTTATTAGAATACAAACAAAGCTGTCCCTAAGACCCTATATTTTATCCAAGGTGATTTTATGACCGTCATAATTTCAGTCATCTTTTTTCACTATTTCAGTGGACTAAATCATCAATGGATCATGTAGGGCAGATCAGTGGAAAGAGGTTTGGCCATGACCAGTTGAAAAACCACATTTTTCGAGAATAAAAGTTGTTATCCTTGTAAACAATGTTTGTTTTCACAATCACACGAGTTAAATATGTGTATTCAAGTACATACTTAATAATAATACAATTTTACTTTTATTTATTTTCCTTGTTGAATTAAAAGAGGAAATTAAAAATATAAAAAAAATGTACCTTTGCTAACCATGCTTGTATACATAGTGGATGAAACAAATGTTGACAGCACAATATTGTTAATGTTTCTTCTAATTGACACGGACATAAACAAATCGGACAACTCACTTCTTCATCTAAAATAATTATTATTATGTTAATAATCTACTGCTGAAAACAGTTATGTATTGCAATATGGAGTGAAAACATTTTTTGTTTAAATTTCAATGAATTTTTACCACTGTACCATAAACTTATATAACTCTATGATCGATTCATTGAAATATCCTGCATCACTTAGAACTACCACAAAGTACAAGTTAATGAGATGGTAATTATCAGCACTTACCAATATGAAGCTGTGTTGTTGTGACTATTGGAAGACTATCAATAATATGTTGAGGAACAGGGGGAGGAGCCTGATCTCCCATCAATTCAGGATGCACAGCTAACATCTGCATAATAACATTCTGAAATACAGATTAAAATAATATTACAAACTTTTATTAATATAAGAACATAAAAAAACAAGACCTGTATCTTGCAATCATCTGATAATAGGACAACAACCAACATTCAGGGAATATTAGAGAATTACTTGTAGTAACAGATCTGTAAAGAACAAAACTTAAGATGTAAACTTACCTGAAACATGAGATCAATCAAATCTTGAGGTATTGCTTGTAAATTATTTAATAATGGATCTAATGGTCGTAATTCAGATAAATCTAAGTCTAAACTTGTATCATCTTCTAGAAAATCAGGCCTAAAAATGAAGATTTCAATAAAAAATATATTACCAGTTGGCCAATAAGAACCATTCTCTACTGAAAGGTTTCCTCTCTAAAAATTCAACACTCTTGATGCTGGTAACATCAAATTCAAATACTGTTATATACCAGTTAAATAACCTATACTAATTAGTTTATCAGTATAAATTATGTACTTACCAGTTATAGTTATTTCTATCTGGGGAATTATCATCAACATTATCAGTGGCCAGAATATTATCTGTATTTCCAACAATCTTTAATAACTGACAGTGTTCACAATCACATTCAAACTCATCATCAGCATCACAACTTGCTGAACTATCATAGTTTGGTAAACATAGATCAGCAAACTCATTGGACTGAAATTCATATTATTCTTATTATACTCCTTTATAGAGTTACCTTTTCTTAAGTTAACACTATGTCCTGTATAGGACTAATTTACATTGTGTATGTATTATTATAACAGTATTAACAAAAACTTTTTATTCAAATAGATTCATGCACTTGCAATATTTATCATGGACATTTTCAGACTTGCAATCCATATGGAAAATCCTGTTGGTTGTTTTAGAAGATACCCTGCAAGGATACAAGAAATTTGAGTACGGTAATAAAGATTAAGTTGAAATGGTACTATAAATGTTCTACGCTGCTTTCAAAGAGAAATTACAAAAATGTAAAATATTTAAAACCAATCCATATACCTACTTTTTCTGTTGAATCAATGAGTAAATTATCATTATTAATATCATTGGAATTATCATCTTCTGTACAATCAAATGGTAAAGAGATCTGATCAACTAATCGTACCCAGGTTTCAGGTGAATATTGAGAATTCTCTCCATTTAGTTCAGTATGTATCTCCATATTTAATAATTTACGTAAGGTCGTTGAGGGTCGAGCTTGCATAGATTTTCTTTCTGATGATTTCTTTATATGTTGAGATATTTGACTGAGTGGTTCATCTGTTTTAGTATCAAGATAAGGATCTAGTTGTGTGTTACGGAGACTGCTGCCTTCTGACATACCAGTTAAAGAATGATTGGAATCAGCATCAGCACAACTTTCTACACTTAAACCATCTTCTATATTCTCCCATGGCATATTAACACTACGTTCATCATAAGGTATATGACTTTTCAGGAAGCGTGCTAAGGGAGTGGTAGGATGAAGAATATCTGACAATAAAATATTATTGCTTTCTTCCAAAGGTGCAACTGAAATAGAGAAATTAGGTAATTAACACAAAGACACGTAAGATTACTTCCAAAGCATGGCCTTAATACAAACTAAATGATTTTTATATTTTCAATGGTGGGATTATCTTCATAGACTATATGTTTAGTTTCCAAATCAGTAAGTAGAATTTGGTTTGTAGCCAAACTATACTAATTTTAATGCCATAATGAGAAACATTCAAATCCTGAAAAATTTTCTCTGGGCATGTTCCAGATGATAGAGACTTAACTTAGAACCCCTTTCATTCCCAAAAGCAAAATCAAAAACCAGTATATATTTTTTTTTTTTTTGGAACAAGGCCCATAAGCTATTTCCAATACCCTACCTATTGCTTTTTCATTATGATCCTCATCATTAATATCACTATCACTAGTAGAACCAGAACGACGATGAGATTTGCGAATATGTAACACTTTCTTTTTCTTTTCACGGCTAGTAGATTGAGCACAATATTCTGTATTGTTTTTGGTTGGATTTAGACGTATCAGTTTAGAAGGTAAATCAGAACTATCAGTACCTTCACTAAAATATATCTCACCACTAGTTTCACAGCAAATAGAGCTGCGATCAGTAACATCTGATTCACTTTCACATAATACTTTAGGTTTTGATACTACTAATGTACTTTCTTCATTTATAGTTTCTGATTCATTTAATAAGGAAGATGTTGACATGTCAATCAACGAGTCTGGATGGTGATAAATTTTACAGATACTACATTTTCCTGGTGGAAAGGATTTCTGAGAGTTTGAGTAGAAATCACAATTTTGGTTGATATTCAGACAATTTGCACATTGAAGGTGTGAGTTCAACAAATCTGTTGAATTGAGAGAACTTAACAATGGTTGAGACACTGATGACACAAATTGTAGGCAATTACACATTTGAAATTCTAACGTTGATTCATCATTGGTTTGATTGAGACTAGACTGTTCAAGCATTGATTGTTCAAAACTAGATTGTTCAATATTAGATAAAGAATTGCTCCCTGCACATTCATGAGATACATCAGCTACCAATTTTTTCAATAATGTATTTACAGGAGATTTATTCACATTTTTATCTACAGTTCCACACAAATTAGGTGCTAATAAATGACTAGGTGTGTTTAAATTGTCAAAACATAATGTTAAATCACTTTGTTTATTTGATTGTGTTTGCTGACTATTAAAATTGTGAGTTGATGATAATAACGATGTATTGGGTTCAACTTGAGTATTATTATGACTAGATATTGTAATAGGAAGGGTTAAATTCATTGACTCTTCATTACTAGAGTTATTATTGCACAAAGAAATATCACAGATATCATGAGACAACAAAGACATTTGGTTCAGAGGGTTAACTTTATCAACATGCTGCACATTGTCAACTTGGTTCATTCTGTCAACATGATTAACTTTGTTAAAGTTGTCTTCATTATAAGATAAATAAGGTTTTTGTAGCATTTCCCACACAGTTGAGTTACAAACATTGTTTTTGATTAACAACTTGGACTCTGATTTAGAGTCAGATTTACTTTCTAAATTAATTGAAGTTTTCTCTGAATCTTTACTAGTTTGATCAATAGGTATTGTTATGCGTTTGATGGTTGGAATAGAACAAGATGAAACAGGATCTAACTGAAAAATGTTACTGCTACTGTCATTTGAAGGATTTGACAAATTTGCTGAATCAAATGAAAGTAAACTGGATGATGAACCAGTTTTAGTTAAAGTTTCTTCATCTTCACAATCACAAAAGGTAAAAAAATCTTCATTGTATTCATCAAAATCATGAAGTCTCTGTAACCAACACCTTGTATGATCAGATTTTAAATGGTCCCTTGGAAATGACACTTTACCTTTGTTCAGTTTATTAGTTTTCTTAGATAGTACTTCCCTTAAAGCTAACCCTGCTGTTTTCCACTTGACAAATGCCTGTGGGTTACTATTTGTACAATTTGAATGAAGGCAAGATACTGTTAAAGCAGGATCTGTAGTTCTGTCATCTGATGAAAAATCTTTACTATCACTTAATGTAACTCCAGTACAATCTTCTTGACTAGAATAATGCATTGACTCAGTATTAGAGTCTAAAGTTAAATTGTATAATGAACCTGTAACAGCACTGTCTTCCATACACGAATACTGAACAGGTTTTTTGTAACATAATTTTCTCCTAAAATGATTCACATTGTCAAGATCAAACTCATTTTTAATTGGAATACAGCCTTGTTGAATTTCACAGTCTAAAAAAATTGTACTATCCTTTTCCAAAGTATGATTAGGAGTTGTGTCATTAGCTATTACCCTATGCCTTTCTTTTTCTGGATTGTGACAACACGAACATGATTTTAAGAACTGATTTCTATAAGGTGAGCCACCACACTTATCACTTCCATATTTACAAGATTTATCAACATGTTTCTTTTCCTTCTTCTTTTCATTACTTGTACTACTACCAACAGAGGTTTTAGGTCGAGCTCCACCAAGATAATTCATTTCAGTTGGATTAGCCATGATCATTATTTACAATAACAAAACAACTTCAAGGCCAAACCATTCACTGTAACCTAAAAGAAAAAGCAAACTGCTTAAAAATGCATACCAATGCTCAAAGCTCTTACTGAACCTGTTTTATACACCTTTCGCACTGCAAAACAGAATTATAATATTCGGTTATAACCGAGTAGAAAAATTACTGCAATCTTATCTGAATACTCGCTTTCACACTGCCAAGTGAAGCTATCTAGATAACTTTGTATTTTTTCACCATTTCACAATTGACACAATTGAGCTGCAATGCTCATCATTATAAAATATTAACATAATAACAATATAATTTCCTCTTTTCCTTTCTGATGCATATTCATGTACTTTATTAATACCTTTCATTCAGATTTTCAAGTATTTCTATGACAATATCCATTTTGATGTGTTTATTCACGTTATACCCAATTTGATATTCATATCCGGTTAACTAATTGTTTGGTTTCACACTGCATATTACCTGGATCGTATCCAGTCAAAATCCATTACTGGAGGTAGATATTTCTTCTGGTTATAAACCGAAAATGTTTATTTGCTAGTGCGAAAAAGGCTTGTTTCACCATTTCAGTAATATATGTAGAAAGTTACAGGCTTTGTACTTAACCTATGACAGGACTTGCATGAGCAAAAAATACTTATCTTGGTTGGTCAATGTAATATCAGCTACAAGAATGCTATTTAGTGACTTATATAAGGTAAGTAGAGTCATATCTTATTTTTTAAAAGAGTACAGATGCCTTGAGACTTTTGAGAAGGTTAGTTTTAGGAACAGTTATTTATTGTACAGTGGTGTAACCTATTTTCGTGGATATAAGGATTCAACACCGAATTTCATCAAAGTTAAAAAAACGAAAAAAATTTTTTATGTCTTAGATGTTTCCTCAGATATTCTACAAAATAATTAAAATTTGTTTGTTTCAATTTTCTTTATGAATCCTTCACTTTGACCCATATTTCATGAGCAACCAACTTGGCAACGGCGGCAGAATGCGTCACCTATTTTCATGTACAATGTTTGATCTATAAATAAGTCGAGAAAAACACGTATGGATACCGGGTGGTATAATTAACTTCTCTTAGTATTTATCTTTAATATCAATTCATTATAACTAGTGACAATTCCTCCAAGGAACCAGGATTTAAAAACAAAAAGCGTCTGACAAAGTAAGATACGTAGCGTGATTTATTGCTAAAAGTCACTGAAACAACATAAGAATATGGCCCAATTTGTGTTTCATAGAAATTTTCTGCTGACATGGAATCGGCTTGTTGATCACGTGACTTCATTGGTTTGAATATATTCTAGCAGACGACAGTTGGAATTCCGATTACCGCTTGGGATTGCACGGAAATTCGACCGATAAAAAATGGTGACGTTTGGTAATAACTGAAATCCGCCATTTTGTATTTGTCAAAGTATACATTAATACATTTTACCTTGCTTGAAACTACTGGATTCATTCTACTAGCTGATATTGTACAGAAAACCCATGTTTATTATAACAAACTAATGCGGAGGTCGCGCAATGTCGCTCATGTAAATTCTTAATCCTTTCCAGAAATCCACGAATAATAGGTTTCCACGAAATTAGGTTACTTGACTGTATAAAACGAAAATATGTCCACATGTACAAAATCATGTACGGAACTCAAGGTCCTTGCTTCTAAAGTTCATACTCCTCGCTTTTTCACGAGGGGCTAAAACCTAACTATAGCACATATTGTATCATCAGTTTTGGCTACTGTATTATATAATAGTATATAACGTAAGATTAGTAAGAAGTAAGAAAGTAACTCGTGAGACTCAGTCGGTGACACTGAGTGACTGACAGTCACAGTACTCACAGTGTGTGCGAGTATTAAGGTGTACAAAATGTACAGCTCATTTTGTATTACTTCCAGCCAGTGAATATGCCTCTTATTCACCCAGGTTTGAAAATAATTCTTTGAATATTATCATGCAATCTAAACAACACACATTTTTCGTAGAAATGGCAGATAAATGTAGATAATTTACCCCGGAATAAATTAGCATTTTTTGTCAGCCATTTTGTTCCAGCTAATAGCCTTCTGGCCTCCACCATCAAAGATCGCTATTTCTAGGGGACATAACTAGTCCGAATTCAGATCATAGTAAAGTTAGCTTTTATTTGAAAATATTTGGAGCAAATAACAACATTCAGAGAAGTTTTTAAAATTTACACAATATAGAGCATAAATTCATTAGAATTTTCGTAAAATGAATCTCAAGCGATGTGCTAACGATCAGGAAATGGCACACTAAACACAACGATATTTATAATGCTCTATATAATAGTATAATCTAGACATAACACATAAAGTTGTATAATAAAGTGTTGCGGAAGACGCGTGGATAATTAATGACTCCCCCAAGTTGACAGGTTTATTTTAACATCCGATATACTTATACTATTTTCGTTTTTTGGATAATACAAAGCTTACTTTTATTGGACTGAATTTAATACGATAGGTAGGTAGGCCGTTATCTTTTTTATGGACACTTGCACTGTACAGGTAGGCTATAGGTCTAGGCCTATTTATAAAAATACACAGCAATTGTGATTTTACAATATTCTAAAACTAATATTCACCACAGACATTTATGATGCTTGAGCCTTTTCAATTACATTTAAGTATAAAGACCCCTGGGTCTTTTTCTTTTATTGTAAAATCGATAGACAGATTTGTCTGTAATGGTGTCTCATTGTCGACACTCTGCAATCTATACAGTTGCATTCAGTAAGGATGGCAGAGGGTTGCATTTGCTACTTGTTGCAGTTTCGAAATCGACACTCAAATATTTGTCATTACCGCTGATAGATAGATCTAGTAGTTTAGGCTATAGTTGTTTTCCCTTTTTGGTATTTTCCAGAATCACCCAGAATGCGGGGAATTTCTTTATAACTGGTTCAGATGGAGAATTTCAGCTTAATTTTCATAGTGCTGAATGTATATTGTGTTCTTGAGTTGGTGATAGCAAAGCCACAACAACGATCTTTTGATGTCAGATGGCCGAATGGTAGTGCGGTATCTATTCATTTCCCAAATCAAAAGGAATCAGGATGTATTTTAGATAGAGTACTTGATAATTTGATATGTATGAAAAATTGGCCCCATTATAACATAATTGGCAAATGGAAATATTATCCTGAACACATAAAATATGTGTCAGTAAGATGTCATGACCAGTCGTTTCTAGCTGAACATCAACATAACTGTTACTGTAAACATTCTAATATTACTACCAGCCAGCATCCAGGCAAACACAGGGACGATTTTAACTTCTGTCAGCTTCATACAATCTCCTACAATGTATTTTATCAATTGTCCAATGTACAAGTGGTTGACCTTGGTAGTAATCTGCTTAAAGAAATCCCAGTGGGTCTTTTTAAGAATCAAAAATCTTTATCCTATCTGGATCTTTCTAACAATCCATTACGAGATATGCCTCTTGGGCTTTTCTGTAATTTATCTAAGCTTCAAATCATATTACTTCAACATTTATCATTGGAAATATTTCCTTGGTCTGCCTTTTCTTGCGTTGATGATACAATTTTAAATGTTAAGATGATCGATTTGAGCATGTCTCATATATCACAGATAGCTGACCAATCTTTCCGTAATATTCCTAACCTTGAGTTTTTAAATCTAACCAGCAATCTACTTCACGACCTTCCACCAACACCGTTCCATGGGGCCACATCTTTAAAATATCTGGATCTATCAGAAAACTTCATATCCAGGATATCACAGGATTTCTGTGATGGATTACATAAACTAGAAAAATTGTTCCTGAGAGGAAATAGTTTCCAGTACATGGATTTCGCAGTGTTTGCCAAATGTGACCACATTCACCATCTGGATATTTCTAAGAATTTACTTGAACATCTACAACTTTCTAGCTCGCCACATTTTGCTATGAAAAACCTGAATCTCTCGGATAATGACCTGGAACAAATACCGGCGTTTTTCTTCAATCAAAGCTACACAGAACTCGAATATCTGGACATAAGTGATAATGATATAAGATTTATTGAAAATGGTGCTTTCACTGGACTGAACAATCTTGTATTTTTGGATTTGAGTTGGAATCTAATTGAAGTACTAAGTGATCTTGTGTTTGAGGATTTAGATAACCTTGTTCATCTGGATCTGGGAAATAACATGATTGCTGCAATAGAACCCGCAACGCTTGGGAATCTAACAGCACTACAGGAACTGCATCTAAACTACAACCATATTTCAACTATTGGTAATATCGGCCTGGATAATCTTGAAAATCTTCTTCTTTTACGTCTTGACAATAACCATATTACCAATATTCCAGAGGCACTATTTGGAAATCTGACGAGTTTGAATGTGCTCAATTTATCACGAAATCATCTCGAATTCATTCAAAATACAACATTTCATGCGGAATTAGTGGTCTTGGATTTATCTTTTAATATGCTGAAGGAACTTCCCGTAGGAAAAGGTTTAAAGACACTTTTGCTGCGCAGAAACCACATTACTTGGATTCCATTGCATGTTTTTGATGCAATGACCCAACTTGAAGTTTTGGATTTAAGCTTTAACAGGATAACAACACTAGACACCAAATCATTTGATGAACTCGTCAATATTCAGTTATTGGACTTACGACAGAATGAAATCCACACAATTCTAAAGAGTGAGGACTTTGACATGCCTCCATTGTTTCACAAACTTGACCTTAGTCATAATAATGTCACTAACATTTCAGATATTGGTGTTTGTGGATTCTTACACTCAGTCATCAATCTGGATTTATCTTATAATCCCATAGAGACAATTTACAATGTTTTTGATGGCGGAATGTCTAGGACTACCATAAAGAACTTTGTTTGTCAATATTGTCAACTGGTTCACGTGGCAGACACTAGTTTCGAACACGTTCCTTCACTAACAATGGTTGATTTGTCTAATAACAAATTGAGCCATTTTCAACCATTCTTCTCTTCTGCTGATTTCAATCTTCTTTATAATCCTGTAGTTTGTACCTGTGACATGAAATGGCTAAAAGAAAAACTCGTTGTCGTCAACAATATTCCTGTTCACACCAGCCATTACATCATTCGTAATTGCTTCACCTATCCCAAATTAGGGTTAATGAAAATAGCTGATGTCCCATCTGTACACTTCCTGTGTCAAATACCAAACTGTACCAACTTGTGTAAATGTTATACAAGAGAAATTGACCTGATTCCGGAAACTGTTATCTGTTCACGTAATTTGACCTCCATACCAACCGATTTACCCATGTCTTCAAAGGAAATCTATTTGGATGGAAATGATTTAGAACATTCAGCTTTTCAAGCAAAGCCAAAAGTGGAATTTTCTTCACTGGAGGAAATTTATCTTAATTCTAGTAAATTTCAAGGACTAGCAGACGATTTCTTCTCCAACATGCTCAGTCTTAAAAAGATAAACCTCAGTGATAACAGTATTATCAACTTGGCATCAAATACTTTTCATAAGCTTGGATTTCTAGAAGAACTATATTTAGATAACAATGGAATTAGAACAATTCCTGCAGGCCTTTTAGAGGGTCTTGTAAATCTTAAACTGTTGAGTCTTCAGAATAATAAACTACATTTTCTCTTGCCTGAAACGATATCTGAACTGTCAGTTATGGTTGGTTTCAGATGGATTATACTATCAAACAATCCGTGGATCTGTAATTGTCAAAATATAGATCTGATTGACTGGGTCAAAGGTCATAGGAGTAGAGTTTTTGATAGACGTCATGTCCGATGTGGTGAAATTGATATCATGAGTTTTGATAGAAGTAAATTGCAGTGTTCTAATGATTCTCATCAATTAAGCGCCATAGTGGGAATTTTGGCCTCGTGTTTCTTAGTGTTGATTGCACTAATATCAATCTGTATTTATTCAAACAGAAAAAATATCATTGCTTTAGGCTATTCTAGAATGAAAATAGAAAATTTTCATTGTTTTAAAAATGTGGTAATAAGAAATGACTATTTGTATGATATGGTTATTATATTTGACGAAAATGACTCGAAGTGCCGATGGTGGGTCACAAGGAACCTAATACCTCGTTTAACTAAAAGAAATTGGAAATTCAGGATTTACATTCCTAATTGTGAGAACAATACACCAGATATGCTTATTCATGAAATCAGGGATAATATTCGACACAGTCAGTGTACGTTGTTTTTATTAACTAAGAATTTCATATACAGTCATATTTGTACGAAAAGTTTTAAATATGCTAAGTACGATTCACGTCATTTTGGACATTTGATTCTAATAATAGCATGGGGTGAATTGACTAGAGGCCTGTTAGAAAGTGATGCTAGAACGTTTTTATTATTAGGTAATTACCTTAAAATACGTGAGAGATTTGTCATTGATAAATTGATATGTTTAATGCCAACTCCACTATCAGACATTACTTTATCAGAATCATCTATATCAGATGAACAAAATGTCATCCATTCATCATATATATAGGTCTATTTGACTATTTTTTATACGTGTAACAATTTGTAACTGACAAAAAAGGTATACAATAAAATTGAAATACACGTCATTCTATGTAGATTAAGTGAAATAAGAATGATAAATTTTGACAGTGCCTGTTGAGTACGTGTTGAATTCTCAAGGACATGGCCTAATGTCAAAACAAGAATTACTTTTAATTGCTAAGAGTATTATGGTTATGGTCGTTTGCAGGAACATCGGTTTTTGCTTCCGAGATGTAATACGGATAGCTGAATTTGATTGTCATCGGCTGGTGGAGAAAAGAGTAAGATGACTGTTTTCCTTTGGAAGTACATTTTCCTTATTTTCACTATTCAAACACCTAAATAAATTTATGCCTATTTTCTCATTCATAATAACCAAATTTATAAGTCTTTGTCATTTTAGTATGTTTTATGACATAAATGATGGTAAAATATGAAGAAGAATAATAATTTATTATATACAGTAAGAATTTGGTAGACTGACGTTGAATTATATTCGAGTATAAATTCAACATTATGACATGATGTCACCCTGCCTGTTGTCTCCGCCGTATCAGACAGAATTGTATATACTTTCACTTACCCAATGAATGAGGATAATAAATAATTTGATTGTGAATATATGAATAAACAAATCTTAACATAAATTGTATGAATTGTTTTCATATTTCATCAAGCAGGACCAATGTGACTATTTCCACACGAACAAATTTCAGTAGAGAAGTTACTATTACAATCTGTGGACTCACCGAATGAGATGATAAATCAGTAACTGGAGCATAAATCTTCTCGCCACGTATTGCTGTCAAGTTTAGATTCAATACAAGTACAAAAATATGCCTGGACATGGTTCCAATGTAGGAAAAAAGGTTGTGGAATCGGATATTAAACTGTTTTAGGTCTCTCTCTCTTATTTTTAATAACTACCGAGACAAACAAACTTTCTTGTTTTCAACATGAAATACCTGGCTTCGTTGTCATATATTAAGTAATGCACAAGTTGTTACCATAGAGGACATATTTTGTTATTATGTTCTAGTAATCAATTTGAAATTCGACTCTGCGTCCCACCTTAATACATACAAAACATGGTAGTATAGGTATTTAGTATTGAATGAGGATAGTAAGGTGGTAATCTTTTATAAAATAAAGTATCGTATGAATTCAGATCTTAAATACTTGATACTTGAATAGACAGGGCAACCCTTATAATCAATCCACATTAAATACACTTGAAGGAAAACAAGTCAAGTTTGTCATGACACTTGACACTATAATGAATGTTGTAAGTTGATAATGTCATGTCTTGATAACCAAGACTAGGTATGTCACGGATCAAAGAATGAAATAATGTGATTTCTCACAATCAATTCAAAGTTATATTGAAATACAAAAATACAAATTATAATTTCAAGTTTAATGTGTCTATAATAAGATTAGAAAATTGGAGACTTAGTATTTGCAAAGAGATAAACTGAAAATCACGGCTGGTTGATCTGCTCATCAATCATGTGTAGAAACTAGAAAACGTGTTATTTTACTAGAAACAAATCTTTAGTTTCTTGTGTGAAAAAAATCAAGGTTATAAAGTTAAAGTCTGTAAATGATTGTCTAATAATGATTCATCTTAAACATTCACTGTTACTTTCTTTACAATGTTAAATTTTGAAATACGCTGGATTGCTATTGGCTCTACAGACAGAAATTTGGAAAATGTTACAAATTTTGTGAAAAGTGTTGCATGGAAGTGGTTAAGCTAGGTTGAAGATTATAATAGATTCAGACTAGTGTGTACATCAATTTGAAGGAGTTGCGTTTTTTGAGAGGACATATTGCAGATGATATTAAAGGGACAGATGAATCATTTGGGGGATTGATTGAGTAGGCCTTAAAAAATAATTCGAACTAGGAATTTTACTCACTATTTCTATGTCTTTTCTATATACCAGTTTTTAACATTCAAACGCGGATAGTTCTGGACACACATGGATTTGAAGGCTCAAATTTCGACGGTGAACTATAAACATTATTACACATTAGCTTAGCTAAAATGTTTCTGAAACTAAAGTAGGATTGGTAAGTATTGGTATGATACTGATAACATCACTAAATAACATGTTAGCTTATATATTTTTGAAAGATACATAGTACCGTTAAAAGGAAAACGCACCAAGGAGACATCTTTTAGAATCCTTCGATTCAACATTTGGGATACAATATTGGTTATTTTGTGAATTGTATCTCATATTCCATATTATATTCTCCAACAACACAAGAAAGTAATGTAAGAAACATTTTTTTTAAAATTAATTGAAGAAGAGACAGTGAGGTATGTGGTTAAACTTGTAAATCTTGTAACAGTTTGACAAAATGGATCCTGAGGCAATTTTAGGTGAGTATTTGTTAACAACATCGCTAGGGTAACATTTCATGCATGTACATGTCGTATTGTTTTTATCTTAAATCTTTCGACCCCCGAACAATCATTCCCCCAAAGTTTAGGGAATTTGAAAATATGTCAAGCCTGACTCGATGGTTTTATAGTTGTAAAACAAAGCATAATATGCAAGGGGTAGTTTGATTATACGTAGTGGACACCAATTGCCGAGTGAATATAGATACTGACAGGACATAAAGTACTAGGCCCACTGCACCCAAAATTTTGCGCCCAATTGAAACAAAGTTTTTTTTTGGACACATCTCTGGTCCATACCAGACTAATAACCATCTGAATAATTCTGAATTATTCTGAAACGCTCAGTGCTACGGTCAAATTGACAAGATACTTTTGAATTTCTTAAAAGTACATAATGACCCTTGTCAAGCCTGACTCGATGGTTTTATAGTTGTAAAACAAAGCATAATATGCAAGGTCTATAAAACACCACAACAGATCCATAGATTTAAACGCTGCATTTGGAAACCAGAAAAACACACCCAAAACCTGACCTCTCAGTGCCGATTGTGGTCTCGGAATTGTCCCTGCCTGTACCATGTCACAGCTAAAACAGATAAGAAACACGCAACACCACAAGAATGTTTTTGTTCATGTGATAATTCAATATTTTAAAGTAGCAGTTTACATAGTATAGGTAGTTCCATTAGTAGGTTTCAGAATCTACACATGTTGACGCTATGTGCCCTGCAAGGGGATAGAACTGTGTGAGGATTTGTAGAATTTCTGATTAACAATTACACCACATTGCAATAATTGAAAAGGAGGTCGAAAAGAGTCTGTCAGTTAAATATCAACACAAAGCAAGAGCAACAAACGATCATATAAATAAGATACAGTAACACACAATTATAATAGGCCCTAGTTGCCGGGTGAAAATAGGTCAGTGGTCTGAAGATCCAAAATGATCCAAGTTCTGCTTTAATATTTCTAATTATAAAAATATCTAAATTGAAGTCAAGTCATTATCCTGATATAAAATAGTCAAAATAAAAAAGTGTTTGCCAAAATGAAAATGTATCACGTATCATGTATCTAAGAAAAAGGCAGTCAATACCATCTCATACACATCTCAAAATATTCTGGGGATAACAATTTAGAACCTTACACAACCCAACACTCGTATCTCTAACATCACTTGTATTATCCCTAACCAGTGACGCGAAAGGTTCTATCTCTACGAAGAACAGCACTAATCTGACAAGAAATGACACATTCAGCTGGTTATTTTTTCAAGGAAGATAATAAACTAAAAAATTATATAGTTCACAGAAACATTAAAGAATGGCAACAAAATGGATTAAAGAGTAAGAGTAGACTTAAATATGAGAACTATTTGTTTATCCCTGTAGGTGCTAAGGTTGCGGGAATAGTGTAATTAAGGAAGTTTAATATGTTTTATGTGAAGAAATGTGTCATCGGCTGATAATTTTCACTATTACATTTGTCATGGGCCGAAAGGCAGCTGCCAAGTTTGCCTATAGGGTAATCCGCCACTGTCTCTAACATGGTCTTACCAGACTTTAGAAAAACGAATCTAATAGAAATAATTCATTGGTAAGCAATCTAAATGACTATGATGTATAACCAGAAACATAACACAAACTTAAGAGAAAACTGATTCTGGGAGTGTTAAAGGGCAAGCTTCACCAGAGCGACGCGAGTTGATACCCTATAATCTTATTTTAGTAGTGATGCTTTCTTGCAGCTTTATAGCATGCCAGATGACTGATTACTGATTTTTTGTTTGTTATCGATGACGTTTTAAAGAGACAGTTACGCCATTTTCTCGAGAGGGAAAGGAGTGTGGCAGGGTGTAAGGGATAGCAACATCGGAACTGGTCTGACTGTCAGATGATGACTTACCAAACACCAATATATAGCCAAAAATACACCTAACATTTATAGACCTTACGTCAAGGTATCTACTCAATCCTGTCACCACGAACACCAAACTCGTGCCAACAGGAATCTCCCAATTTCCAGGACATACCAATCTGGTTCAGCTTTCCGACCTAAGATACGGATTGATTGTTTGCACATTGTCGTCAGGAACGGAACTTTCGAGCAGAACCTCAAGCTCATGCAGCTGACTTGTACTATCTCCGTAATAGAAAAGACCAATAAGCCTTCCTATTGTAAACCCATTCAAAGGAGATATAATAAAATAAAACACACGAATCAACCATAAGACGTTTTGTTAGGACATCCAGAAACAAATAACTGGAGCCATCCTTCCTTATAAAGCTTTTAATTAAACCATTTCAACTTCCGCTACTTAGTTTTAATATGGATTATAGATTAGAAATCTGAAAGAAATGATAACTTTTAAGAATCGTGTAACATAAAGATTTAACATATAATTTTGTTGATTATTCTTTTGACAGGAAAAACGAAGCTGGACCGGACATAATATATCTAAATAAAAGGTCATTAGATTAGGTTGAAAAAAATTTTGCACACTGCCTTTAAGATAATGAAGTGTTGCATTCATATTCCGATAGTCAGAATCGTACACATTCCAAGGAAGAAATTTCATATGAAGGACACATATGTACTTGCGAAATGAAACCCGAGACATTTCAGGTCTAGTTGCATTAAAGGAGGTACATCTGAATACGCTTCTTTCATTTTAAATACAAACAATTCATAACCATATAAGTTTATATTATACTTTCCACTTACCAAACATAGGTTGACTATTCACCTAGTAACTGTGGTACCTTGTGAATACTTCTGGCAACGATCCCCCTCCATAAGGTTTAAGTCGACTTGGGTGTCCTCAATCAGAGAGCTGTCATGACTTCTAGACCAAATCTGATCAGCTATTCAGTTCTAGAATACATTGTCGATTTAAGTCCTCTTTCAAAATGGCAACCTGCAAAATACAACAACACATTCGATGAGAGTACAGGGAAAATAGAAAATGAAATTTTGAGTAACGATGACCACGACCATGTTGCAATTTTTACGATAATATAGATAACATTGCAGTATGTGAAAGCATGCTAAAAAAAAGAATAACATGCATTTTAAGAGCTGAAGTCTCGTCCAATACAAGTATCAAGAGGTTCTGTATAGCCTTGGACCGCCGCTTGAAAACTGACTTCAGTTGACCTACGAAGTAAAACTTTGAAACTTAACCCCTGAACACACCCAAGCTATGAAAACAATGGTTTGAGGTTTGATGATTTTTCATACGATACTGATTAAAATTCAATCCTAAATAAAACTTTACATAATTTTTTTTAACAGGTTGGTGTGGTTTTTTAAAAACGATAGGGTGGGGGGGGGGGGGGCATTAACAAAGGCATTGGAGAATGTGATGTGTTTTGTATCTATTTAACTGTTGCTGCCGACATTGTACAGGCAATGATCATTGTCAAGTTTGGGTGTTAGTCTGGAGGTGGTTTGATCTAGCCCGAATATTAGGTCCTTTTTCGGTTGTCAATGTCTGACCAGGGTCTTCATGTAACTTATTCATCATTCATTCAAAGTATTTTTCAGAATATTTCATGTTTTATCTGGTCAATTTGGCTATAGGACTGGGTCAATATTTTGGCGTGTCTGATGGGCATAATACAGAAGCATTTGTCTGATATTGACCAATATTTAGTCTTACTCTCTGAGAAGTATAAACGAAAATAATCTTTCTTTCAAGTGGTACGAATAATATTTGATCTAGCCCAAATTTTAAGGACCTTTTTGCGAGTGTCTAACAGGCCTTATCCACGACAGAATTCTCTCTACTCCACAACTGATACTAATTATAAATTGTGAAACTTTTGTGACGAATCAACTTGACATCATAAGTACATCTTTTATAGAATCAACGTCAATAAAGACCAATATTCACTGAGAAAAAGTTAGACACGTGTCCGATATATCATACAACTTTGGCTTGAACTACAAGCAATATTTTCCATTCCAGATGATCTTACAAAGTTATCCCTTCAAAAACGATTTAAAGAGAGTTTAGTGGACGACCTATCAATACGCTCATCTGATGATTTAGATAATTATGTGCGAGATTTCCAGATTGATGATTCTATATCAGAATGTTTTGTTAGTGATACAGAGACAACGGTAAACATTTACAATATTGTTGGTTCGGGTTCACCTTCGAGTATTATAATGTTTTAGATTGCATGATCGCATGTAACTGAATAACAAGCAATCCAAATAGCAAAATTAGCTATGTGAACTCTCTGAAAGTGTGGAGAAATTGGTGAAATCCAGTCGCAGAGTGGCATCAGGAACATGTACTGACCAGCTATCGACGCCCATCACATTACCTATTTTATTAAAGCACAAATTCAACCAAGTCTTCTGATGCAAAAGTAATTGGCTGGGTGCTAATTCACCCGACAAATCTGACCATACCTGTTTTTGGGACGCATTCTTAAATCTTCAATCGTCAATAAACTATCTGTTGAATAAAATATTATAGTTGGTCATATTTTAGAACTATTTGACGATTATTTTCATTATTTTAGATGACAAATCTTCGGACGATATTTTAAAATATAGCGATATGGTATTAAATTCACTATAAACTTTTTTTTATAGAGCAGACACATGAAACAGGATGAACCAATAAGATCTGGAGGGAGTCACAAGCAAAATGGTAGAAAACACATAAGTGACTTATTTAAAAGGAAATCCAAAGATACCACGAAGTCACACTATGTTAAGGAAACAAAATATCACAAAGGTTGGTATTCTTGGAGGTTATTGTAGGTTTTAGGTTTTAGCTGCGGCAGTTTATTGATCAAGGTGAAGGTCAATAACTGAGACCACAGGGAAGTTATGTGAAATAGACATAGGGACTTTACAAGACCACAATAACATGTAATGGCGCTGGTACGAAAACATTAAGAAAACAGCAAGCTAATTTCTTTATATCACAAGCGAGTTGGTCTTTGTCCAGTCCCAATATGTTTAGGAGACGCTGAAAAAAATTATGATCACGAATCACTGAAACTGCTGAAATATATTTTAAGTGCTGAATTAGGATATAATTTTCCTATGTTACTAGGAAAACAAACCATTGTTCTAAAAAGAGCAGTCTAAGAAGCATGAAGTTCTATTTCACACATGATTATTGTAAAATATTGCGAATGTCTAATCGTTCTGTAATCAGATTTCTTTGTAGCAGTTACATATTTTCAAAATTCTTGCATTTCAGAAAAAGAAAACATATATTTTGAAATGAAATCGTGCATACCAAAGACTGCGTTGCTGAATTCACTTCCATCACAAGATATTCTGAATGAAGATATATCCGATGAAGATGATTATGTTTTACCAACACAATATCAACCTTTTGAAAGAATTTCAAATCTTATTAGACAGAATCGTTTAAGCGAATTGGTAATCTAATATACATGTATTGTAACATAATTAAAGTTAGGTCTATTGACTTGAGCCAAGTTGATCTGGTTATTATGTCAGCTGCTAAAGAGCTTAATGTCATCTAATAGTATAGGAAATATATTGCTGTTGGTTTATATTTTGAAAAATGAACAATGAAGACATCTAAATTTACCATCAATTATAAAAATCAAGATTATTTGCTATGAATCCACTGTTTTTGTAGTCATATTGTAAAATACTGTAAAATTTAGTTCAGTTAATATATTCAAAAGGTACCCATTCATTGATTTCATCTGAAAGTAGTAAAATTTATTAGAGTTACCTCCCATTAATAATACCTACATGATTGTGCTCTGACCATTTTCCCCAGATTTAAAAATCCCATTTCATTCTGCAGTATTTTACATTCAGAACATGGAGTTACTTAAATACAGTTGCGATGTTTTGATATCCAGTGAATCAAGGAACAACATTTTACATCAATGCGTACTGGAGAATCACCCCCAGTGTGCTGAGATAGTTGTCTCTAATCTCCCAGAGTTGCTCTTTATGAGAAACAGCCGTGGGCTAATTCCACCACAATTAGCAATTCAGGTATGTCATCCCTTGCTACTCTACCCATCTTGAGTCCATTTGATAATATTTTGAATCATCAATTCTATGCATAAATAAATTGTTTTGCAGTCAATAAAGATACGTTATATATCACAAGCTTAAACGCTAACATATGCGCCAGGGGCGCTTTCCCCCGCTTACCCTGACAATAATGCAGGTTCTGTTACAGAACAACTCCACGTGTGCTTCAGGCAGTCAACATTAAAGGTTCCTAGATATGAGAAAAGAGTTGGTAAATGACAATTTTTCTAGTAGAATCTCGTCCCAGTGGTGGAGCCGGAGGGCGGGCCCCCCTTACCACTTTGATTTTACAAGCATATTGAAAAGAAGCAAAATAAGACATGCAAAAACAACCGTATTGCTCTTTCAGAACAGCAAGGTAGACTGTTTAGAAATGATGATGTCCTCTATATCTCAACAAGATCAGTATGTAATTTTACTGGCAGAAGAAGCTATAAAATCAGACAAGGTATCGGTAATGAAATATTAAAAAATATTTGTAGTCAATTTTTAGTCAAAATATTATATTGCCCGTCCTTAAGGCTTAAAGATTATATTACTACCATTCTAGTCCTCATTAGTGCGTTCCAAAAGGCATATTTAGTTTTTTTCTAAAAATGTAACAAACCCATTCTTGGATAAAATTTGTTTGTCAGTTTGTTGCTATTTGTAGGTCCAATGTTTTGTAGTTATTGTTGAAAACTGTAGAACTATGGAGGAGGCAGTATTGGAACGCATAAGCCAGTTAGCTGCTAAATATGGTAATATTAGCTGTTTACAGGTATGTTTACTTGCTAAATGTGATAATATAAGTTCTTTATCGGTATGTTTGTTTGCTAAATATGGTAATATTAATTGTTTACAGGTATGTTTACATGCTAAATATGGTACTATTAGTTGTTTACAGGTATGTTTACTTACTAAATGTGATAATATTAGTTGTTTACCGGTATGTTTACTTGTTAACTTGTTAACTATGGTAATATTAGTTGTTTACAGGTATGTTTACTTGCTAAATATGGTAATATTAGTTGTTTACTGATATGTTTACTTGCTAAATGTGATAATATTAGTTGTTTACCGGTACGTTTACTTCTTAACTTGTTAAATATGGTACTATTAGTTGTTTACAGGTATGTTTACCTGTTAAATGTGATAATATTAGTTGTTTACAGGTATGTTTACTTACCAACTATGGTAATATTAGTTTTTTACAGGTATGGTTACTTGCTTAATATAGTAATATTAGTTGTTTACCGGTATATTTACTTGCTAAATATGGTAATATTAGTTGTTTACAGGTATGGTAACTTGATTATTATAGCACTATTAGTTGTTTACAGGTATGTTTACCTGCTAAATATGGTAATATTAGTCGTTTACAGGTATGTTTACTTGCTTATTATGGCACTATTAGTTGTTTACAGAAATGGTTACTAAATATATTAATATTAGTTTTTCATAAGAGAATATTTCAGCTAGTCTATGAGTAGATTATTAACTTCCAAACTTCTGAGTTATATAATTCAAAATACTAAGAAAGAAATAAAAAAATTTATGGTCTACATCACCATATTAAGGACAAATTAAAAATGTGTTTAACTTGTTTCGACATACATATGTATGTTATGTACTCTCTTTTTTTTATAGCACAGTAAAAATTTGTTCGGTAACATCATTTTTAGCGCGTCAACTCACGCGTCATGATAAAAAACACTGGGACAAAGTTGAGCAGGTGGCTCTCACGTTCACGCCTCGGTGTTCTGCATTCGGTGAACAAATCTACAGTTTTAGATGACCTCTTGTTTATTAGATTTGAGCCTGAGATCTTGTTATACTGAATGATGTTCTCGCTGTTGGCTTCTCGCTCTTATTTAGTTCAAATTAAGGGAATATGTAACAGGCCAGATGATGGATTCTGTATACGAATCACGGGTATACATCAATGACATCTTTTCCATTGAGATATGTTTCTGTCATATTCAAGTTATTAACTAGATGAAAAGATGACACAATGTCAATGTCAGTCGTTCTATAGCGTTATTATGAAAAATAAACAGTTGTAAGTACATAAACTGTTCTGAAACAGAACCTAAAAATATCGTCTTCAAAATTTAATGGCAACCCACTTTCAATTACACAAGACAAAGCAAGGACATCTTGAACATCAAAATACATTTACTTTTTAGAAATAATATGTAATATGAAAACAATTTTTCGGTAATTCCTACGATTCATGTGGAATTCTGATATTCTGAAAAAAGCTATATCTCTGGTCTTTCTAGTCTATTGTAAATTGAAGGAATCCAACATGTTTGTGTACTTTGTTGAAAAAGAGAAGCCACAAAACACAAATGTCACGACTATGTGAATCATATAGAATTGGCATTTTTCTATCTTAAGCCACTAAATCAGGGAATGTTCTTTTCAGATGTTACAAATTTAACCTACTAGTCGGATTAAAGGTTTATTCATATAGGTACATAATCAGCCGATAACACTGGCTTTAAATGCACTAAATAAAGATGAGTACTAAACCGAAAACAGTAGGCGGGTTAGTGCTTCTATCCTTAGGCCTACAGACGTTTCCTCACTCTACTTTGCAAGACGTTGACCATTTTCTTCAAGTATAGGAGGTGAAACTCGGCGACCACCAGGGTTAGATTCGTGCCACGTGTCTTGTTTTTTAGTTGACATATATTTTGTCAGTTACAAATGGTTAGTTTACTAAGATTGATGTCTCTTGTTATTTCTAAGACAAATATATAATTGGAAATAGGGAATAAAAGAATAATTGGTTCAATCATAGATCTTTGCTTGTTAAAAAGCGCCTCTATCATTTCTTAGTAAAACAGTTGTCTGACTTCTTACTGCTCATCTACCTTGATGATCTTAATTAGTGTGTCTCGGATGGACAAGGATAAACGACAATAATGATTAAACAAATACATTTTTAATTATTTGTTTTGCCAATGCCAAGACTGTGTCACGTTTCAAAGGACATTCAGGACTTTTATAGCTTCCAGTTTACAACGTCTGAACTACACGAAATTCAGAAATAACTCATACCTATTTCTTGTGGGCAATCGAGTTATTCATTTGAAAGGTTACTCAGATGATTTATTGGGTGATAAAAATCGATATACTTTATTGCAAAATTGCTTATATAGCTCAATGTCAATTATTAGCGGTATGTCTACCAGTACATCAGTCTTAAGTTTGCATTCTTCCAAACAGTATATTATTTCGCAACATAACTTATTGAAACTAAATCAGATTTTGTTTACCCTCGTATTCTTACTGAAATTACAAGTTATAATAGTGTTGTTCTATGATTTTTATATATGATATCCGATTTTAGACAAATAGTGAAGTTAAAACTAATGTAATTTGCATCAAGTCATTCAATCTGTTTGGTTCTTTATTAATTTCAACATCAAAGGGAAACATTCTCTGATGTGCAATGTGCAAAAGACGTGTTTTATCTAGTCAAAGCACACGAATGAAAATCCCAACTAAACAACTACCAAATTGAAGGCAGTTGAATTTGAATTTTTAAATTATACGGAGATGCCTTTCTTTACTGTTATTACAAAGTTCAACCTGCTAAATAGTACCATCATTCTGAAAATGGATTAGCGTGAATATTATAACTTGTCACACAGCCTTTCATAAAAATCATTCCTATAGGACTGCTGTTACCCAGTTCTGGAGTGGCATCGGGTGATTATTTCCTGCTTCGATAATTTAAGCAGTAATTGTGAATTAATTGATATTAAATAGTCTTGATGTTCTTTGTGACTTTTAGTTTTCGATTCAAGCTTGAATTAATGATTTTATTAACAAAGGGTTGTATACCTTGATCTAATATTAAACTAACAGACTGATTTATAAATGTAATTGTAGATTCTGATAGAATATGGTGTTAATGTATGGTCAACTGAAAATAATGGTCAAACAATACTGGAAATAGCCCGAGACAATAATAACCAACATTGTGCTCATTATTTATTAATACTCCAACTTTCACAAACATTATTATATAGCTATGTAAACACTCAAGTCTTCTATCAGAGGTAAGTGTAGTTCTATTGAACAATAATTGAAAAATCTAATGTGAACCCATCACGGTACTAATACACGTCATTCTAGGGGAAAACAAAACTTTTATTTATCGATGGTGTCTCTTCATATGTTTATGCGATCATACTCAAACATATTTGTCTGCAAAACCATAGAATATAGTCATAGTAAGGCAATGGAGAGTATCCAATATGTGCGAGTTTTGCTTACATGTTCTACTTTTCGACATCACGTTCAGGTTTTGCAAATTTCTGCCTACGAGTTTGATCTTTAAAGACTATCTTGTTCTTCAAGTGAGAGTGTAATTACCCTGTTGATAATACAGATTGACCTAAAACCATTTTCGTAACAGATGATTAATATTTCAGGAGAGAAGCGTATCTGAACAGATTAGAAGAATTAATGAGACAGGTAAATTGGAGATTTTGAAGATAAACCTGAATGATTGCGTCCATATATTTTCATGCAATATTTCCCATGACATTCAGTTTCAATCTGTACTCCTCAACCGTAAATTATATTCCCCACCATTTGACACTATCGAGCAACGGACTTAAAGGGGAACAGTCGGCATTTTCGGGCATTTATTGTGCTTTAATAGTCTTAAGAAGTACTATAACGCTTTAAAATCGCATAATCCCTTCAAATATACCTCAAAATAGAAATTTCACTGTCCATTCCTATATATGTTTTTCAAACGTGAATAATTATGGATACACGTGGATTTGAAGGCTCTAATAGAGTTGTGAACACTATTACTGATTAAAAGATAAAAATATTCCTGTTTCTGAAACTAACGTCTGATTGGTCGAACGGATAGGTAAGGTGTTTCTTTATATCTCATAAATCTTATTATTAGAATTTCTGACAAGCAAAACATTTCCGTTTACCAAAAATAATTTTTCACCACCCACATTATCCTTTACCTTCTTCCCAACCAGGAATGTCATTTCGGTGGTTATGAATTACTCCCTGATGAAGTAAACAACAACTATATACTAACAACTGCTATGTAGGATTGAGAAACAAGATTTGAACCTCCTGTGGAACACACATTAACATTAGAAAATCAAATACTGTATGTGTAGGATTGGTAGAAGATCATTAGTATATTGCAACCTAATATGTTGGAACTTTAGTCATAATGATATTCAATGGAACATGAAAATAGATTCACCATACATACTATTAGATATATGATACTATGGAAATTGACTTTGTCAGCTTCAGTGATTAGTAATAACAGACTTTTGTAATTTAAACAAGAAATTAGAGTTTAATTTAAAAAGCACCGAATCAAGATTTCTCTGTCAAAGCCCCTATTTCCAGGTACTATGGGACTAGGTTTATCAACTCAGCATCTATTCGAAGAGTTGTTATTACTTATCACGGAAATATTGTAAATGATTATGATCTATTGATCAATTTGTCGTTTGGATTGAAACTAAGGACAATAGTCCATTAACACTGTGAACGTTTCCCTACCAAATGGTTCTCAAAGGCACCCTGTGTTTCTTACTGGTAATTGTTAAATTTAGACTTCACTACGCCTACACCAAACCTAACACAATTATCAAATGTTTCGGGTTTCTCTAGCCATCTTTTTACGAGACTGTTAATTAGAGTCTAGAGAATATTATCTATATATTACAATGTCTTGTCTGACAATGACAGATAACATGGTTTCCTGTTGACTTTCAAACAAGAAGACTAACTTGATGGTTGCCATTTGTTATCATCTGTCTTTTATGCCACCTTCCTTTTACATCTGACCTATTGTAAATTTCCATTAAAGGAATATTTTCCTTTAGTGTTATTTTCGTTATAACATGTGATTTTACATTTAACATAATTTCATTTTAGATTACTGTTCGTATACAATCATCAACGTCATACGTTACAATTCACTTAAAAGGCAGCATTTTAATTCGACTTCAATTTTAATGAAAGTTTCATTTTACGATGTAAAAAACATTTTTCTACCTCTTGGCATTGGAATGGAAATGAAAACATCTTGTCAATGTCACTGCAAGGATTATTGAGATGTACTTGATTACAAAATAAAAAATATTGTCACATTTCGTGATGAGCGTCACATTGTCACATATACATTAATTAACAAGTATTTCCTAGTTTTTCACTAACACAGCTTTCCTTTATCTTCCATTAACATGACATTAGGAAAGTAACTTTCCGATTAATTTCAGTCTTGCAGGAAACTATCTTTTTAATTTCATATTGACTAAAACCATCTTGTATTTTTTTTGTCAATCATTGTGCCTTCATAGGACCAATAAGGTGTAGAATATGATATATATACAATACCTCGTACTAGAAGGGCTAACTTTAAAAAAAATCTAAACTTGTATTGCCCTGTTTATAATTATTTTGAACACTGCTAAGCCTATTA